TGCAGTTCCCAGAAGAAAGGAACAAGAAGGGCGGGAACTGAGTCCTGGATGCAACTATCTTGAGTGCGAAATCACGTTCGACCAAATGCGATTTGGGTACTCCAGTTTGTTTGGCCATAATTGGACTGAACGACACCTGCTGATTAGATTCACGATCAGGAGAATCAAGATCGGTTGTGTAAAATCCTTTCTAGTTCGGGGAATTCCTCTCAGCATTGTAACCGAATTCCAAAAATAAATCACGTTCATTTCACATCTTCTTTCGGTGCAATGAACTTTCCCAAATGAGAAGAAATTTTAACTCATATTCAAATTTTGTTAGTGGGCATTTATTGCCTCCGAAAGGGAACAATAATAATAAGCGAAATAAGAAAACTGGAAATAAGATAGAAAAATGCTTTGCGATCCCTCCGCACACACAAAGGCAATCAAAAGATATTTAATTTTATACAGAGAACATGTCTCCGCCGAATCGCTTAGAGCCCCTCGTATCACCCCTCCTCCGATTAGCATAACATCAACTGGACTTGGAATTGGAATACAAATGAGGATGGGAATGACCGCAGATGGTAGAACTAGCCGGCCACGAACTCTAAGACAAACCAGAGAAACACTCGGCCTTACTCATTAATTAATAACTCCTATGAAATTAGCGACAAGACATTATTTATACATTTCTCTGTTGTACGTGGCAAGCCAAAAGACTAAGAGAATATGCCACAAATGGAATTCGGCAATGGTTAGTGCCTTTGTTTCTTGATCTATTGCTTGGTCACATTTATTTCGAAGGAAATCTACTTATGGACTTGAGTACAAATTGTTTGCTTGACTGAAACTAAAATTGGCTGACCCAACGCAAAGAGTTTGCTCCAAAGACCATCCGCCACCTCCGCACAAGGTTTAATGACCCTTTCCTTTTGGACTTAAATATTACTTAACAGGGGATTATTTTTATAAAAGAGTCGAAGCCAAATACTCTTAATAGAATGTAGCTATTTGCAGACTTAATAATCCAATGGGCATACAAAAATAAAAGTAAATATTATTATTGGTTATTTATACAATATGACTGTTTCCTCAGCAAAACTTTCTTAAAATTAGCTTTAGGGCTTATCAAAAAATTAACATTGAATTTATGATTCACTCTTCTACTAATAGTTAAAAACTCGTTATCTTATATACCATTATTAACCCACTTACCCATTACCACAGAGAGACTCTCTCCAGAGTTTCTTGATTTCCTCGTCTGGGCGCGTTGTCTTTGTAGTTGGTCGGTTTATTTCGATACTAGCATTAAACCCAAAAATTTACATAATTTGATCGAGCGGTACCAGCAATGGAGATGCATTTTTTATGGCCCTCTCCGCTGGTTGGAGGCTGGGAAATTATTACGAGGAAAACGATACCGTCCCAACAGATTTTCCCCCGTCACCCATCTGGCCACAAAATAATGAACAAGATGCTTTCTTTCCATTTCTCCATTTATCTGGCAGGAGGATCTCGGAATTATATACCAAGACTCCAAGGTGGATGACAGAGAGGGACTAGACAAATGTTATTACCAAAAACGAAGACAACGACCGACCCCAAAGATCTGTGACTAAATTTATTCAAAAGCGATTCGAAAAACGTCGCGATGCCGCTGTCTCTCCCCTTTCTTCGTTAATTTGAAACAGTTTGATACTTATACACAGGCCCATTGGAGTGGATACCCGGGCAGCCAATCCGAAAGGTAATTCTAATACGTGTGACTGCCATTAGAGGAAAGTACTTTGGAGAGCCGCCGGCGGCAGAGACCCCTATCCCTATTTCTATCCCGAGCAGCATCATCCAGCCCGAGTTCTTGCTTTTCTCCGTGCCCATGTCTCTTAGTTCCCCTCGTTCTGCCTTCCACTTTCTTTCACCTACAAGATTTATCGCCCTGTATTTGTATTATTTTTAGTTGCTTTATGTCCGCCACAGATACAGTCCCCATTCCAACAGAATCTTTCCTTCAGCTGCACACATTTGTACCTGAGATAGTTAGCTTTTACATCTGCGACACCAGGGATGACAAATTCATGGGATTGGGGGATAGGAAAATATCTTAGGGCTACAATGTTAGTTTTTTAGTGTTTTAAATTCGTTATACTAAATTACTTATATTATATAGCTTGGGGAAGTTAAACGATATTATTTATGGAATTTTTTATATATTGGTTTTTATCAAATGTTTAAAAATTCAATTTACAATTTTTGGAGTAGCTCGTGAATATAAATTTAATATATATGATAAATTTTATATATTGAAGTTACGTTTCACTTAAGATACATCTATTTTTTTATAAATAATTTTTCATCGCACTGTAGTGCGAAAAATAAAGAATATTGGAAATATTAAGGGAGGCAAATATTTATGAAATGCCAAAACTATCCGTAATATTGTGTTACTAAGTGTCAAACGGTCTGGATCCATCCAGATCTTCTTAAAAATTATTCCAAGCATAATCATTTTAACTTTACCCAAGATCCGTATTAGAGAAACTAGTTTAGATCTGAATCCATAAATATTTCAATCGCTTCCAGTTGGACATAATTTGGTGAGTCTCCCCGCGAAGTGCCCGAAGCTTTGTAAATCGATTTCAGCCATGATACCTGTACCAGTTTAGGAATTTTTGTCATTGTACGGAAAGAGAGTATGTGTGTGTTTTTGTCCCATGTTCTGGACTTGTGTGAGTGCTAGTCTCCTACACACAATAAGCAGACAAACTATAAAACTTGAATCAAATCGAACAAAACAAAAATAAAATTTTATTGCATTCCAGCACTAAAATCGTTCGATCGTGAGTGCGTCTGTGTGCTTATAAAGTATCTGTATCCGTGAGATACCCACCTCGCTGGGAAGTGTGCAAAGAGGCTGAAGAAGCAGGCAGCCTCCGATAATTTCAGCTTGACTTTGGTGTCCCCTCTTTTTTTTTCTTTTACTTTCCTCTTTTTGTCCCACTCAATCGAAGTGTTTGTCCCTCAGTGTGTCGCCATGTGCGTATACCCCCTGCCCCAAAAATGAAACTCTTTGCCTAATATTCCATTAACGGGCTTATTAAGGCAGCACGTATTGCTGCCAACCCACACAGACTCACCGACACACAGCCACAGATACGGATACACAGGGAGAGTAGTTTAATAAAAGGTACTGATGCATAAATGGGTGTTTGTATCTAAATTGATCGAATTTGGGGACACACACAAGACAAAAACCGGGGCAAGCAGATGAGCAACTGAAGAAGAAAGAGGAAGGTTGATTGGTAAGAGCGAGGGCTACAGAAAGAGACGCACCGTGTACTGGCCAGGTAGAAATTCCCGCAGTTGAAGGGAACTAAATGAAAACAAGTAAGATCGATGGGAGGGAGTTAGGACCTTCAGATACCTAGTACTTACTACTTTTTACCAACCGTAATGTATTAGAAATACCATCCTTTACCTCAAGCAAGCAAGTAAGTATCTATTACTTATAAAGGTATATGGTTATTACATGTTCTTCTTCTATAAGGGTATAGGGTTATTACGTATTATTTCCTGTCTGCATAAAAAAAATGTTTTCTAATATATTGATTCTGTGCGACTTCACACAATTTATATTTTATATAAACTCTCTAGTTAGCTATTAAAACATGATATACCCCTGACCTATAAAGTACCAGGTATTAACAAACAACCGATGCGACCGCGACTCTTTGACTTGAAGCTGGACAGCAACGGCGGCTGCTAAAGCAGGTACAATTTTATAATTTCGTTTCGTGTTTAATTAAAGGTGAAGTTTTAGAGAAATAATAAAGAATTATCGAGAGCCAGGGCCAGCTTGGAGCTGCAGAGGAGTCCCGACTCACACAATCAAGTCGAACATTGATCGTAAAGCGATGAGACGGGTATTGGGAACCCAAAAATACGGTTTTCCTTCTTACTCCGACTTAGACCCACTGGACGTCGGCGATCATTATGCCATAAATAAAGATTCGTTCCGTGCGATCGGGGACCGGAGCTATGGGAAAAATACATACATATCGTATAAAGCATTTTTATTGCGGCTGCACATAAAATGTTCCCTAAGTCTAGGCCCTAAATTGGGTTCGGCCCATAATTATGGTTCGGTTATGATTAAAGTTCAGTTATTGGTGGCGTGTCTATGTACAAATCAAAGTTCGAAAATCACTGAAACATAATTGCCCAGGGCGGAGATCGGGTTTCTGGATGGTTTACTTATTGTTTAAGATTTTGATTATTCCTGACATTTCTAACTTTGGGTTTTACTGCAATCAATCAAAAGTTATTTTTAGATAAATAGGCTAAAATCATAAAATCAAACAATAATATATGCGTGCATGCAATATAAACGAAACCGAATCTAATTTATTTAAAACAAATTGAACATCATCAAACAAATTTTGAGGATTTGTCAAATTTTCAATTTCTCAAGCGAAAATGTTTGGACAGGCTAAATGACAACGCTTGTCAAAATGGACAACACAAACTAATCATTTTCATTCGAGCGGCAGATCGGCGAAGAGAACGCGTGCCAAACGTCCGTCCTCCCCTCGAAGACCCCTTCCCTCATAGAAACAGCCATGACGACGATGACGGCTCGCCGACGATGGAGATGCCGATGACTGGGCATTTGAAGACTGATCCACTGGCTTGGGACCTCTCCACCTCTCTAAGACGTGTTTTCCAGGGGTGTCACACTCATTAACATTGCCTCTTAATTGTCATAGCTATTCTGGGATAACTCTAAGTCTAATTGTCCTAGGCTGTAAATATACTTTTATATTATAATACGAACAAATAGACCTAGTTTACATGGTACTTTTAATGGCGCCCTTTTAATTAACATTAAATAATGGCAGTCTGCAAATGGTGAGATCAATATCGGTAATCAACCTGAGTGTGAGTGTATCTGTGCTGCTAGTCTATATAACCAGGTCTTTAACAGAACGATTACTTAGTATTGCTTCTAGAGGCGGACGATGGAAAGCAACATGGGATATCTAATTTCGGCAGCGTAAGTACAATTTAAAGTAACAATACAAATTAAATGGAATATTTATTGGGATACATAAACAATTTCTAATTTTATACAGATGTTTACTGGTTTTCCTGATGGCCCCTTTTTGCATGGGGTACACAGAAGAAGAGTTCATAGAGGATCTGCTGACACTCAAGAGCGTTTACAATGGATCAACCGACGAAATTACGGGAGTTGAACATCTTGTGGGATTGATTGATGAATACAGCAGTAATGCTTCCCACTTTTCCGCCGAAGAAATGGACAAAATCAACAGGACCAACGACTTCTATATCACACCTGAACTTAAGAGAAATATGGGGAAATCGTTACTTAATTTCATAGTAAAGAAGATTGTATCTAGAATTTTCGAAGAGTTGCGTAAATCATTATTTGGTTGGTTTGATGAATTAGTTTACGAATAACAGTTAAATGTACATAATACAGATATGTGATAAATAATAAAAACATGGTGTAACATTCTGAAACTGAACTTTAAGTCGTAGTATTTTGCATTCTATCAATTCATTAAAAGTACGCAATGGAGGATTTTATGGAAGGAATCTAGAAACTATTTAAAGTAAATGAAGTCGTTAACCGATATTAAGGAAAGACATATACAAAACCATACTGAATACAACAAAACAACTGATTTGACTCCGAACTTTTATATAAATATCCAAGTGGTTTAAGAAACACACCACTATTTATAAAATTTGTATGAGTGTGGTTACATGATCCAAAGCTTGGAGAGCCTGTGGGTTTCTCTTTCACTGGGTGTTTTTAGGCACGAGCCCCGACGGGTTTATCGCAACGCTCATCGGACATACATAACTCCGTGCCACAGTTCGGAAAAGTATCCGAACGAAGTGTCTGCACTTACGGTTTTATCGCCGTGTGGCCTTTCACCCGGCGACCCAGCGACGGGCCCGGAATGAGCTGCAAACACTTTTACGACACTGACAACGACAACAAACAAGTGGGCAAACAAGAGACAACCGCTCAAGACAATTGTGTCCGGGCCGGTCCATAGTTAAATCGAAAGCAATAAAATTCTCTAATTGTTTTTTCGCCAAAGCAAACAATTGAGATTGGGCCCGGGGTCGAGGCTAATTGATTCACACTTTCTTTTTGGCTGTAAAACACGATGTATCGAGTGGCGATGACGACGAAGTGCTCCCCTGCTTTATGGTTCTCGCTCCGTCTCCATGGGTGTAGATGAACAGTGATTAAATCTTTACTGCCCAGGCCGACAGTGACATCTAATTGGTTTTAGGTCCCAGTCTCCAGTCTTCGAGTCCCGGGCTCTGAGGCCTCTCCACCCCCATGGAGGCACTGCCCATTGTGGCAGCTTAATTGGGCCAATTCAGTGTCGTCGAAGGCAAATCAAAAACAAACTGGCCAACAAGTACTTAACTATGACGGGTTGTGACGAGCACTTTGTTAGGCCCAAAAAAATGGAAAAAAGGGTCGGTATTGAAAATGTTTCAACAGAATGATACTCATGTTGATACTACGCCTGAATAACAGTAATTCAATCCACCAAACATTTTCGTATTATTATTCTTGATCTGATCTTAGTTAATTAATTATTCAATTTAGTAACATACATATACCGTTTAAGCTTTAGAGTAAGAGAATTTTAAAAAATTGATAGCATTAACCTTAAAAATTAATCTTTAAACTTAATAAAGGTCGATATCTATAATTTATAAATCAGATAAAGAACGGATCGGCAATATTTTCACTCAAAACTTGTTCATGTTATTTGAGAATCCTATACCCTCGACCCATTGTACGAATCTTATAGAATTTCAAAGGGATCGGTGGCAAAGAAAATGTTTTCTTTGAGGTTTTTCACGACCTCGCCGATGACGAAGATGATGATGAGGCACATACGAGCGCCAGACTTTAAGGGGTCGACCTCAAGGGGCACGGGGCTTGCCGTCGAGTTAGACGAGTAGATAATGATGTTGTTATGTCAAAACATCAGCCGCTGATGGGTCGACTGTCAGGTGACGGATGACGCGTGAGGATCCCAGAGCCACTTGTTGTATCGCATTGTTTCGGTTTTGGGTTCCCGACTCATTATTCAAATACCGATCCGTCTCCCGGGCTCAATCTCAGCCACTTGACACGCACGAACCGCTGCAGTGGCGCCAAAGGATTAGCTGCATTTAATAAGCACTAATGACGAGCCGGCTTCTGGGGCAGATTGATCTTTTCATTGGGTCCACTTTGGGACTTTGAGTGGCAGCAAACAGTGGGCGCTAAAGGTTACGGTGGGTATAATGGCAGCTGTTGACTTTTGACACCCACATTTCCACCGCACCCAAATGTCCCGAGGGTTTCAGGTGCAATGTGTGCACTTTGTAGCTCTTTTAAAGGGGAATGATGCGATGTGCGTGCAAAAAATAGGACAGTTAACCCACGGCAATATCCCCCGAGTCATTGTAAAAAATGTGGATTTCAAAGGATCAACTAAAAATATTGCGATGCAACCTTCACGGAAATTTGTAGCCCTGTCTTCACTTAACATCTAGTAACCGAAAAAATTAAATTTTTGTATAGATATAAGTTTCTTAAGATGTCATGACTATTCCAAAATGGTTTGAAATATAACAAAAATTTAATTTTAATCTATAATTTCAAAGTCATTTTATTTTCCAAAATAATAAAAAGAAAAATTCTCAAAGGAAATAGTATTTCTTATCTATAACTTTAACCCTGATATTAACCATTTTCAAATCCAAATTTAGATATTGTTATTATTATTATTATTAATATTATAATTTTTAATGAACAAATTTTAATAAAAAATAAAAATCATTTACCATATGGTAAAGTCAATTCATACATGGGATAATCTAGCAGAAGATCTATCTGAGATGATCCTATTAATTGCTGATCTCCCTGATATTGACCATTTTTAAATCCAAATTTAGGTGTTGCTATTATTATTATTATTATTAGTATCTTAATTTTTTATGATCAAATTTTAATTAGAAATAATAATCGTTTACCATATGGTAAAGTCAATTCATACATGGGATAATCTAGCAGAAGATCTATCTGAGATGATCCCATTAATTGCAGATTTCATTAATCAAAATGAGCCGTACTTGGCACTTCCCTTTTGGCCAGCAAATTGATATTCTTCTTCGGCGCTCTTCCCCGTATTTGAATGTCGTTGGGCGTAGTCGTCGCTTATACACCCATTACTCAAGTCCCGTCGTGGACAGAGCGTCGACAAATCCATCAGCAGACCCAGAAAAAACTGAACCGAACCAAACTTGGCCAGATGCGAGGGCGGCCCTAGGGCAGGTTAAATAATAAACGAATTACGGAATGTAAAATAATTCATTTAAATGTGGTTTTTTCGTGGACTCTGGGCTGTAAATGCAGCAGTTTTCCACTGAATTTAATTAGCGGCCTCGACAAATTAACGGAGGTGGATGCGGTCACTTGGACGCTTCGCTGGGTTTTCTTCAACTTCAGGTTCCTCTTTTCTTCACTTCAAGTACACTGGAAGAACCAGTTTTCTCTACATTAAATTTGGTTTAATTTTAAGTCGACGAGAATAAATTAGATTTTAGTTCAGAGATTTGGATGCATTTGTTTTATTAATGTACATATGGACTTGTAAAGAAATTAAATTGTATTTTAAATATTTTTAGCAGTGGATGAAAGTTGTTTTCCGGACTTTCGTTACTGATCGTTGAACAAACTCCCCCACGCACCCTCTTCTAGTCATCCCTTGTGGGTTATCGCTGGTCAAACATCAGCCAGAGTGACCCAAGTGAATTATTTAAATTAATAAAATATGCTAAAATGTGTTACAAGTGTGCGGGAAATATGTCCGTCTGCATATGCTTAGATCTAGTGTAATAGATCATATAATTAGAAGAATTATGGTGGAAACCCCGACCCAACAACAATTGCACCCTGCTCGACGGGCGAACAAACAATGGCAAATAATTTTCCAAGGTGCGTAACTCCGTTTCCCCCATCCGGTCGGCCACTTTTCGGGGCTAAAAGCCAAGAAGAGCGACCAGCGAACGGTGGCCAATGGTAGTAAGATGATTTAGGGCCAATTGAGGCGCGAGTTTTTCTTTTATATTTATTTTTTGGGAAAGTGCGTTCCAGTTTTGAATCTAGCTTGCAGGTAAAACGATTTGCATAATTTTGAAATCATTTTGATTAACTGGGCCGACATTTTCGAAAGTAAGTATCAACTGTAATAAATATACAAAACGAAATTAGGTATTTTGGTAGGGAGGCGTTGCTGTATTAAACCAGTGTGAAAACATCTTTTTGCTGTCTTACAAATCTTTTTTACGCAGATTGTTTTTCCCAGGCTAAACGGAATTTGTATGCTTTGTTCTTGTAAAGAACAAGTGTACGAGGAAAACTATACAATAAACTGAAAAATTAACCGACTCTTTGAGCTTATCTTACTGCTCTAAAAACACCACTAGCAATAAAAACAATATATACATTTAAACTTCCCTTTACTCAAGCATAATTTATCCCATAAGTCAATGTTTTACACTAAAAACTGAATTTACTTTCATTTAAGATAGAAGTAAAAATTACTTTTAGTTTTACGGATAAGTAAAAAAAATGTAAAGAAAGGATGGTAATTGTTTAATAAAAATGCTGAAAACTAAATGCTTAGGTATATTTTCTATGATTCATTTCGCTTTTCATAAAAGAGCAAGCCTCTAATTAAATCATATTAAACAAATTAATTTTCTAGCTCTAAATATCCTCTTTCAAACGGTGTAATTGTGCATTCCTCTAGGCAGTTGCAGGATGAAAGTCCTTGAATATTTGCTTGTCTTAATTATTGCACTACACACTCGCACTTAAGTGCATTCCATGGCATCAGAAACTGATTTCCTGACTCCCCGACAATGCCATCCAATCCCATCCCATCCCAAAGCCCCTGGCTGTGCCAGTGAAATATAATGTTTCACTCGGCATATTTGCAGTGCATATTTGACGGGGACATATGTGTTTGCGGGTCAGGAGATGAGATGGGACAGGAGGATGCGACAGGACCTCTTCTGCGCAGCGCCGCACACTCGAGTGTGTGCAAACAAAGCAAACTGGGAAAGTGCCACTAATTACAATTCCCACACGCAGCACCGCCCACTCGCCGCCCACTCATTTTCCCTGCAGGCAGTGGCTATCCACCGCATTTGCATCCTTGCATCCTTGCATCTGCTGCAAGTGTTTGCCTCGGTGACCGGCCTCCGTGGATGTGGATGTGGATGTGGATGGGGATGTGGCTGTAGATGATGATGATGCCCGCCGGCTGTCTGTCTGAGCCTTGGACGAGGTCCTTGCGCGTCCTTGCCGAGGGCGAAATATTTGCTTTGGTCTCCTGGTCTCTAGTTTCTAGTTTCCAGTTACAGATCCT